AGTCCATAAGATATCCTTAACATAAGTATGACATATTAATGGTAATTGTGGAACTTATTGATTGTTAATATCTGGATTGATACACATTATTTTTGGATCAATTTTATCATAGATATTCTTGATATTATCAACTTCTTCTTAAAATTCTTCTTCACTCATATTATACAAGCTCTTATAACTGTATCTCACAATATGAAAAGCAATCTCAAACGGTAATTTAAAGTCTATAACCATTCTTTCAAGTGGATTCTCTGGAAATAATTAAGCATAATGTGTTGGTTTGTCAGTTTAAAACAATAAACATTTGGTTAGTTAATTGATACTGCAAGTAAAATTATCATATAATGCAACTAACGGTTTCAAATTTTGATTATGATAATTTAAAATGAATCTAGACCTCTATTAACATAAAACTACTAGCATTAAAAATGCTAATGAAACAACTTCTTCTTGATTATTCTGATTCAAAATTCTCTGAGAGTTTATGGTTTATGACCAAAAGAATTATTCTAAAGCACTAGAACTTTTTCTAGATCTTCTAAATTCATTTGTTTATGAAGTAGTTTCAAGTTAAATATACCTTCCTCCTGCCAAAGCTTATATTTATTAAGGTGTAAGATCCTCAATATGAACTATTCCTGTCATTTTCTCAATTAATTCTCTCAATATTAAAATTTCTGGTTTAATTATTGATTCATTTTTAGATATTGAAGGATTACTTTGATCAGTAGAAAATACATCAATCAAATATGCAAACAATCCTTACATATCAATAGTATAATATTTTCTTAGCACACTTGCTATGAATTATGCAATATTTTTAAACCAATATCTACATTCAATATCTTTATCTCTAACTTTTGATTCATCGTTAAAATCACATAACCATTAAATCATTATAAATTATAAAATATCTAAAGATAATGGAGTTGCCAATCCTAAGGTATGAACAATTACTGAATTATTATCTGGAATTTCTAATCTATTTCTCCTTAAAACATTCATTACAATCATAGGTTGATTATGAGAAAGTTTTGCAAATTTCACCATCATTTTATCTTTATTATCTTTATCAATTTTATTAAAGAAACTTCTTATATGTTCTTTAGTAAGTTGAGCTGCTCTGATTGTCTAATTAATTGTAGAAAATTAATGAAGATCTTTCCATTTTGAATAGCAATCAAATCTCTTGCGAAAATCTAATTATCCCAAATATTTCCATAATTCTATTACAATAGGCAAACATTCTCCACTCTATAAAGCTGGTATTAAATGATCTAGAATCAATGGTTAAACATCAGGATTTTATGATTATATTAATACTTTACACAATTTGTGAAATACTAAAGGATACTCACCAATATATGGTGAAAATATTGATAATATTTCATTTAATATAGATATTGCATCTTCATCTATAACTTCTAATTATTTTATTTAAAATGCTGTAGTACAATTTGGATCATATATAAACTAGATTGAATATTGAAAATAATTACTTTCTTTTACTCTCTAGATCTACTTTTAAATAGAGTTTTATTGAATTATTATTCATGTAATGGATCAATCATCCAATCAATTAAATCAGCTAAGGTTCTTTTGATAGGTAAGAATATTGTAAAATCAACTATTCCTTCAAAAGATTTGTATAATTCTTAAAATATATTGAAAGCATTAATATGGATTAATCCTTACATCAACCATAATTTTTAATTATCTAATTAATAAATTAATGAATAATACATAATTATTATCCAAATAAATCTTTTTTTAATTTTTCTGATTAATCATTATTATTTCTTGAATCTCTTAATTCTTCTACTTGCATTACTTAATCAAATGATTTATAAAATTTATAACTGTCTTCTGCTAAATCTTCAAAGATTTTAGAAAAATCTTGATCATTTGGTTATAAATATTTCCAAATATTTCCAAGTTCAAATAATTTGTATTTTAAGGCTGTTGCTGTAATAATGATTAATTTATGATCAGGAATTTTCTAATCAGTTTACATAACTTAAGCTGAATTAGCCATTTTAGTCATTAAAATACTTATATTATTGTTGTTTGATAGGGTTTAAACAATTGATTCGAATCTTTTACCTAAGAATTAGCAAACAGAGATGCATTTAAATTATTTTAGTATTTTAACATAAGACAAACTACATGGATATTCTGTCCAACTTTGAATTATGATATCAACAACTCTATCTGGATCTAAATCAAAATATCCAATCAAATGTATTATGTTTTCTATTCTTTATTTAATTTCTTCATCATATATATCAGTGTGTTTTGCTGCATCTAATATTTCAACCATCAATTTGCTATATCCTTCATTTTCATCTTTCATTGACCAAAACTTATTTTGAAAAAAATTTTTATCTGTGTTTATTTTTCTCTTTCTTTAAGAAAAAGTATCTTATTAAACAAATCCACATTCCCATAATACTTCTTCATCAAAGTTGTCAAAAAATATTTATTTTTAAGTTTAAGTCAATCTTTCCGCCAAACTTTGCATTAACTATATTAAAAGTTTTCTTGAATCTGACGATTATTAAATAACCATTGTACACAAATAAAGATTTTCTAAAAGAATTGTAAAAGATGCTTCATTTTACTAAACAATAATTTAAATTGAATTACTTAGATATTTCTAAGGAATTATATTACTTTGTCAAATGGAATTTTTTGTTTTAAGTAAAAATCAGACAAATATTGATATATGAATTTATTCTTCCTTCTTAGATCGCTTACTGTAAAGTAATTGATTGTTCTAAATGCATTATTCTAAAAATTACCTGTCTACATCGTTTATTAATTCTTAAGTGATCACTAATATATCACTCATTAATATAATTTTAATATATAAATAAATAAATTAATTTTCTCATTTCAATGCTGAGATAAGTAATACTTCTGCATCTCTAAATCTTTAGTTCATCGAAGAACAATTTAAAACAACAATTATGGCCTCCATATCATTATTCTTATAATATCCTGTGAAGCAAGGTCCAGCATTAGGAGTAACACCTGTCTTTACACCCATCCAACCAGACTTTTTAAGTAATTTATTTGTATTTTTCCATTTATATAAAGTAGCTTTGCCTCCTTTATCTGTTAGAGCATGAGTCTTAAAAATTTTGGTTGTTATTATCTCAAGGAAAACTTCTAATTAAATACATTTCTCTATTAATTTACTAATTTATATTGACTATAAACATATACCTTATATCATTAGGACATGATACATTCTTCTCATCATTTAAACCATGAACAGACGAATAATTAGTATTTTCCATTTTTATAGAAATTGCATGCTTATTCATTTGATCGAGGAATGTATGTTTAAGTAATTTTTTGTTCCTTTCAATCTATGGTTCTATGTCAATTATAGCACCTTTCAAATATCGATTATATTAATAAATCTCTGTCTTTTGCAAAATCATCAAATATGCTATAGTAAAACTTAAAACAAGTGCTGCATCATTTCCAGAAGGTAACATAAGAGCGAATAACAATTATTTAATTGTTAATATGCCTCCTGCATTTAAAAAGGCACTAGTACCATCAATACATTCAGCATGGCCTGGAATTTTTATTTTTATTTAATCAGGCTCAATATTGTATTCTTTTAAATACGTTAATGTTGTGTAACAAGTCATAATCTTTGTGATACTGGCTACTTCCCCTTTTTGAAACTCTTACCATCCAACTGATTTATTAAAACATTTTTCATTCTTTTATTTAGTGAACATGACCCATCTTTTAGCACTTACTTTATGTTTAATAGATGGAATAGCTTAATGAACTGATAATGATACAGTTAGTTTATTTGGGAGTATTTTTTTAGTCATCAGACTTGTTGCAGTTTTGATTACTTTCTTGGGCTACCTTTATGCTAATTGAGATTCTACTAATATATTGATATTCAAAATTACTAGATTAAGGTTCTTTTTATTAACTTTATGCATAAACTCTCATCCTTTCTCTCATCAATTAAGCAGGCAAGTTAGGCAAAGTAGGTTAAGGATTTATTGAAATTTGTTGTTCTGAAAATTCTTCAGATTAAATAGTTTGTCCATTACCCTATTTATACTTTTTCTCCTCTTAAGCAATTACATGTAAAGCATCTAAGTAAGTGTCCACAAATACATACTCAGATTAGTTCTCATATCTTCTCTATATCCATAAATAAAACTGAATACTACATTAGCTTTTTTTATAGGATCATTTAGTATACACTAGGCGTCATGTACATAAAATTTTAAAATATGAGGTGATCTTTTGGGAGATGCTTTAATTTTTGCACTCTGCAATCCTCTAACCTTCAACTCAGGAAGCGGTATATTAGGAAGATCATTTAGTTAATTGCATCCACTAGTGTTAGCCATTTGAGAGTGAAGGCTTTTTCTATGAAATTTTGATAAGGAAACTGAGAAAGCATCTTTAGGGTTGGCATTCATATTATAATATTAAAATAATATGTTGTAAAAATTAAGTTAAGCAGAAGATTTTTCATCTTATGAAATTTATTATAGATGAGAGGGTTTCAACATTCATATAATTGTAGTCAAGATATTTAAAAGTGATATAATTATCTATTTTATAATCAAAATAAATTATTAATATACTTTAATCTATAAGTATTAAATTTGGATGAGAATTCTAATTAATTCAAAATAATTATATAGCAGACTTAAAGATGATCTATTATTCTTTAAAGAATAATAAAATTGTTATTATATTTTTAATGAATCAAATAGCAAACATATTATAGAATTATTGAAATATTCATAATCTTATTGTTATTGTTCAATAGAATTAAAAAATAAGATTGGAAATTACTTAAATTTATATGTTCTGAAATTTAATTAATATAATAAAAAAAAAACAGAGATCAGAAAGAAATCTATTGAAGATTTTGCTTATTTTGATATTTTTCTGATATTTATAGAGTAAGAGAAATTGAAACCAATAAAATTTTCGTATGAAAATAGATGAATAAAATAATATTAACTTAAGTGAACAAGGATAAAATACATTCTACTCATAAACTTAGTTTTGAACAGAGAGATATAAAGAGTGAAAATATACTGTTAACTAAAGAGAAATAAATAAGGTTTATTGATTTAAGAACTGTAAGAGATATGAATGATCCAACTTTTGAAGGAAGTGGAAACGGAAGAAAAAGTAATCAGAATATATAATTATCGGATAATATAATTTTAAAAATTTGTGGGAACTCCATAATTTATGGCTCTTGAATGCATTACAGATAAAAATTCTAATAAAAATCAGATATTTATTCATTAGGAGTGTTATTTTAGGATATTAATTACTTAGTTATTTGATAAGTAATTGAAATAGAACTTAAATTTTAGATGGATAGATTGATAATGAATAATTTAGAAGTTTAATTAGAAGGAGGATGTAAAGAATGAATAGGATAGACCAAGTATGGATGAAATTATGAGGAATTAATTGTTTGGTGAGAATTTCGATTGGAAAACTCAATAAGGTAAAATAGTTGTTTCGAATAAGATTTTTAGAAAATATTAAATGATTTAAGCGAAATTGATAGATATACTTATTATATAGGATTAGAATTAAATAATGGTAGAGTAAGGATAGTTTCAAATATGAAACCAATAAGGTTTTGGGGGAATAAGAAAAATTAATAAAAGATAATAATTTCTAAAAAAGATTTAATTATATGAAATAGATTTTGGAATAGAAGAGATTAAATATGGGAGAGGATGATGATGAAGAGCCTTAATAAATCAAAGGATTTTATGAAATACAATTTACAAAAAGAGAATCACTATATTCTAAATTGTTTTTTTTGATTTGAGAGGGATTTAACTTTCAAATCAAGTTGTTAGGCTTCTTATCTAATTTAGACATAATTTCTAACAAGTTTTTCATTTTATAAATATAATTGTTCCAATAATTATAATTATTGATCTGTGTTTCCTAATTAATAAAATTTATGTCTTTAGACTCTACTATTTTCAATAATAGAAAATAATGATTATCTAAGACTATTTAATTCTTAATTATCACTTTTTTGATAAGAATCATTTTGTTGAACCTTAAACTTAGTATATCTATTATGTGATTGTTCATAGTTAGATTAAATTTTATCAACAATTTCTATTTTAATTTAATTTTATGGAAGATTAGTATTCAATTTGATTTGTTTTGACAACTCCTCTTCTTCTTCAAATTATGTTGAAACAATTAATGAATTTTTGGAAACCATATTGGAAATTGATCGAGTTCGCTTATACTCAATTTAAAATTACTTTTGAAGTTAACTTGGTTTATGGTTCCAATTTATTTTAACTTAAAGAGCTTTTACGTTTGTTTTCTGTAATGAATCTGTGATATTTTTATTTAACACTATTATACGATAACTTTTTAATAAGTTCTGTTGTTTATTAATTTAGTAATGACACATTTTTAGTTGTATTTTTTTGATTTCTGGCACTTGGAGATCTTGATTGTTTAATTGAGGGTAATTTAAGATGTTTGTAAATTGAAGGAGATATCAAATGATTTGATTATAATGGTGATATATTTTGTCGAGTATTTCTAACTTCAACTGAACGATCGATACATATTCGAATTCTGTTATTGTTTGAATCTTATCTCCTTTGCATTAAATATTTATTAATAAAAAATATACTTTTTTTTCCGTCAATCACTGACCAGTGATACCTGGTGATCTCTATAAACAATATTTAGAGTCATACGAGATTGAATGAATTAAACAAATTATTTTAATAAAAATGCATCACTATATTAAAGAAGCTTATTACAATGTTAATTAAGTCGAATGTGAAATCCTATAAGAATATTTAGGATAACCGAAGACTTAGTAATTAATGTATTATTTATTAATCATTAATTCTCTTATAGATAGTAATTTGCTAAGTCATCTGAATCTAACATATTAGTCACACCATCAGGATTAGTAGTTTAATGTTGTGGTAACACAAATATAATTAAGAAATTTGGTACTCTTTAAATGTCAAAAGGTACACATATTTGGGAGATTATTGCAATTTATGATTGTGCTTAAATGCAAGTATTATTTATAGTTTTATTATTCAAGATTGGAGTGAGCACTGTTAGTAATCCAGGATAAGAGAAAGTTTATTTATAATCTTTTACAGCAAGTACAATTAGAACAATAACAGTTATTCTAAATATTGAATTAGGAGAACTTAATTTTTATTTGAATGGAAATCATAATTAAAAAAAAACACTTCCTGTTGAAAAGAATGCAACATATGTTCCTTTAGTATAATTTGCACCACATGGTAAAGTTGCAGCATTGAATCCATTTGCATAACATCCAAATCTTCAATATCCTAGAATTAAATGTTTACCCCTTAATTTATTTACTTAGAAGAATTAATTTTAGATATCAAATTTTCATTTTTTATAAAAATTGATTGATATTTAATCAAATGAGTTGCATTGTGATTAAATGATCAAAATAGCAAATAATTTCATCTACTTTAATAATAATAAAATGAAATTGCTAAGACCTAAATTAGGAAAATCAAATATTGATAATACATAATTAATTAACATATTTTCAAATAGACCAGACTCTCCTTAATCTATGATTTATATCAAATTAATCAAATAACATTATGAATTAATCTCTGAATCTTTCATTTGGAAGAAATCATTAGAAGATGGATTAACAAATCCAAAAATGATTGAATAATTCCATTAATATTGGACATAAGCTAAATAATTAGATACATAAGTTTTGATTTAAATCCCATATATTTTAATGAAATAAATAGTACTTTCATAATTAGAAGAATATGAATAAGATTTTGAACTCATTTCAAAAATAAATGAATAAGTAGAAAGCTGCAAAGTTATAAAAATAATTAGAATCTTATTAGAAATAGATGAATAATTATATGCAATGACATTAAACAATAAACAATTTGAATCATTTAATGCAACAACATCATTCAATTTAGTTCCAAGAATATTCTCTTAATTTCATAGATTATACAGTTTCTTAGATTCAAATAATTATCCTTATGATATAATTTAATTAACAGAATTAGGACTTTTAAAACTTCCAGGTTTCTCAAATATATTTAGACATTTTACTAATTATAGACATTAAATTGAACCAATTACATATTAGAATGATTTATCTAATATTTTACCAACTGAAAAAATCTACAACTATATTGATATTCCTTTATCTTTGACTATTAATAATATTCCATATGTAGATTTAGAATCTAATTTATAATTAGTGAAATCAGTAAATGATTCAATCTATTTTACTCTTGTAAATGATGAAGGAAATATATAAATTTGGAATGGAGAATTAAGTTTACATAAATGTTTATAATTTAATCTTAGATCATTTGAAGAAAAGGTAGAAGATTAAAATTAATTGGCTACTCTTTTTGCTGAACCATAATCAGAAAATAATCATTCTTCTAATATTGAAAATTAGGATAGTTTAAGTGAAGATTCTTAAGAAGCTGCTGTTGTTGTTCCTAATGAAGACTTATTAGAACAACTTTACAATATGGGATTTTCTATTGAAGCATCAAAATAAGCATTAATAGAAACTAAAAACAAAATAGAAGATGCCATTGAAAAATTATTTGGAATTGAAGAGTAGAAGGCTAAAGAAAAATAATAATAATAATAATAATCAAAATAAGAAGAAGTTAAATTATCTAAATTAAAACCATATTGGACATGTAAAGAATGTACTTTATTAAATTCAAATGAAAATATCAAATGTTAAGCATGTGATGCTTAACCTCCCCAAGATGCTTATGAAAAAGAAGATATTATTGCAATTTAAGAATAAATACTTGAATAATAAACAGAAAATATAGAAGAAAATAATTAGAAAATATAAGAGGATAATAATGAAAAATTTAGAAATATTTTCAAAAATTCAAAATTATCAAATATCATTTAAATCAATCTTTCAAAACCATTTAGACATTTATTATTTGCCCATATCTTTACTACAGAATAATAATCCTATCTAGTATTGAATAGATTCTACTAGAGTATCAAATACTTAAGTTAATTTTTTAGAATTAATAATGAAGGAAGTTATTCAATTTTAACAAATAAAACATAATAATAAATAGTTAATATATAAAATTTATTAAAATTATTAAATGAAGGAGAAAATAGTAGATTTATATATGAAACACTCTATCCAGTTTTAACAGTAAATATATTAAATATAATTTTAGTAATCACAAGAAGAATTTGAATTTAAAGATCAAATGATTTTATCAATAGATGAATTTATTACAAATTTGTATTTCCAAGATGAAAAAATTATTATTTAAGGTACTACTAAGAATTGGGAATGTACTTTATTTGATGGTAATAAATTAATATTATAATTTAAGGAGATAACTATATACCAAAATTAGTATTAATCTAAAACTAAGAAAAGCCATTATTATCATAATAATTGAATAATAAATCTTAAGTAGATTAATAAGTTATTATTTAATAAAATGATATTATTGAATCTTTTGATGATTTAACAAAATTAACACCTGAAGAAATCTCTGATTTAGCTAAATTAAATGAACATTAGGATGTATACTTTTAACCTATTAGTAATAATCCTATGATTTTATCAAAATCTAATAATGATTATTGGGCTAACATTATTGTAGATGTTTATCAAAATAGTGAGAATGTAATTTAATTAAATTTATCTAACTAATAATAAATGATGAAATTAATTGTAACAGGATACAGTGATAAAAAATCAGAATTTAAATCAGATGGTATTATATCTATAGATGGATTAAAACCTGAGAAAGATGATTAATTACCTCTTACAATTTTTACACATAAAGGATCTCAATTTAATGTTTAACAATGTATATCAAAAATCTGTTTTGTTTAATAAGAAATATTTTCTACTGTTTATTCCAAACCAGAATTTATATTCAAACATTTACATGGAAAATTAATGAGTTTTTCTAAATTTTCAATTGCAAGTCCAAATAAATTTAAAAATACTGGAGTTCCTTTAGGATCTGGATTAATTTTTATTGGAAACAATGCAAATGACTTTTTATTTTGTTAAAAATTCTAATATTTTAATAAGGAACAATATCAAAAATGGTTTGAAGATAGGCAAAAAGATATTAGACCTTTAAAACCTTGGGAACCAGTAGCCTTTTTTGAATTAGAACCAAATGAAAAATAATTGACATTCGAATTAGAGAGTCCTAAAATAGGAAAATATGTACTATTAATGACTTTGTCTGCAAAATAAACTGATTATGTGAAATTTGAATAAAATCCTCTAACTTTGAATTATTTTGTTGCATATGGTACTGTTGTGAAGGAGAATATTGGAGATTAATTAATTTAAAGTCAATAATCTTTTGAGTTATTTAAAGATATTACATTAAAAGTAAATGGAGATATTATTGATAAAGGCTAATGTCAATTTAGAGAAGATACTTATGTTAATTACAATAAATTTATTTGTGAAATTCCTGCATCTTTATTAACAAATGTGTAAACTATAAACATAGAATTCTAAAAATCTGATTTAAGTTTTCTTTAAATAAATGGAGTTAAACAAAAACATATTAATCAAAGGCTTTTGCAAAAATTACCTCAAGCTCATTTGATTACAACTTTAATGCATGATGTTTCAAAATATCATGAATTTAATTAAAAACTTATGTAACTTACACATA